GGGGAGGAGGGAGGGAATTGGGAAGAGGAGGGGGAAGAATAGGATAGCATTGCTTATCATTATTATGTAATATCGGAGAAAAGTAAAACAGATGAGCGGAGAAAAAAACATATTCATTTTTTACGTGCTTGCATGCTTGCGCTTCCTGCCCATTAATTTAGGGCAGTGTCTTTTTTTTTTTTTTTTTGGCTGTCACTTCAGGTTTTCTTCTTGGATGTTCCCATCCACGTACAACTTAAAGATTTCAAATTCAGCTTCTAGATATACGTGTTTCTTAAGTAAAGGCATGTGAAAAATTTGACGGGGAAATTGCTTACTAAACAACTAGATCATATTTGATGAATGTCCGTTCATCGAAAATTATTCATCTTCCTTTGTGCATGATTTATGATGATTTACACTGTTGAGTACACAGGCTAAATGTAAAGCAACAACCATTCATACAGTTAACGATTTGATTGCCTCAAGCACCAGGCTTACAGGTGCGTTCCAGCCTGGGATTTTTTTTTTTTTTTTTTAACATTCATTTCATAAACATAAGTCGACAGATGTTTTCTTTCATAAAGTTCAAGCAACTGTGTACAGGCGGTTCTTCAGGCTGCCATTGCCGGAAGCATGGCGTGGTCTTCGTGATGATGAACTGACAAGGGTGGCCGAAATTCCAGATTGTGTATTTGTGCACCCATCGGGTTTTATTGGTGGTAACATCTCGAAAGAGGGTGCTCTTCAAATGGCTAGAAAGTCCATGCATCTTGCTGGACTGTATAAAGGTTGATTTTCTTTTCTTACACGTTCTCCTGTTATGCAAATTCCAGTGCAGTTTTTTTTTTTGTTTCTTTTCCCGTTATAAATCGCTCTTAAAATTTTTTGGCTTAATTTTAATTTTACTTACCTTTCTCTGTGCATGATGATGAATTTTTAAATTTCGGAACTTTTGAGTTGATCTTACTCGCACTGAATTATCCCACCCGCTTTTCGATGTTTCTGAGGTATACTTTCACGTCAAGCACAGACATGTCCAATCCTTCTGTTCTAAACTCTGAGTTATCCTCTTGCTTTGTTTTCACCTTCCCCTCCCTCTCTCCTCTTTCGTCTCCGTAGCCACCTATTCTGCCTTCCATCTGCCGCCCTGCCATTCACCTAAAATGCACGCAGTTCATCGCCTCTATAATTTTTTTAAATGCCCGCCAATGATTTATCGCACATTTAGCTGAATCGAATTTTGTGGTTTGAGAGCGCCAAGGTCAAAATGGTCTCGAATGCGAAAGGAGAGCTTTTCCGGTATGGCACAGATCAGTTGAATTGCTTTTTTTTTTTTTTTTTAATTTATTTGAATGTATTACAAATCACCGAATGTTGCTCGAGCGGGCTGCTTTTCTTGCTAAATTCATGAAAAAAGGTGCAATTTGTCCTGGAATACGTCGAAGTTAACAGTGGCTTAGTTTCCCCGCTCAGTAATTTTTGCCATGGCACCAGGTATTTTTCACTAATTACAGTTTCGCGACCCATGAAGTTTGGGTTGAACCGTTCAAAATTTCATATCATTGATTTGCATGGTAAAAGGTGTCTGTGTACCCAATGCTTTGTAGCTAACTAGTTAAGCAGTGTTGTCTGGAGAAAAGGAGCCCTGTCCTAACCACTTCCATACGTTCTTCTGCATTAGCCGCTATACGTTTCAGTTTTGATTTTCGGAAGTGTAATATTGGGCAATTAGTAAAACTCAGCTTGCCCCACTCGCGTAATATGCATTTATTCTTGGGTTCAGGTCCGAGTTGCGAAAAAATTCTGGTACCAGGTTCTTTTTCAGGTAAGGCTCCAGCTCTCGCGTTCAAGATTGCTCACTTCCCTTTAGCATCAACTTTCAGGCCAAACAAGAAAAGCCCGCGGAGCACCCTCCTCCATAAGCCTCGCTCCTGTTTTCGGTTCCAGCCTGTGGGGAAGGGTACCCTACGAGTTTTTCGTTCTGAGCTTGAAACTTGACTGCAGCTCGCCTCCTAAGCGAGCCGTCCCGAGTTTTAATAGTTGTGATTTTGTGTCTCAGTAACGAACACTTCCTTGGTCAGATTCAGCTTGCGTTTTCGTCTCGTCCTGTATTCCTATTGCTCGGTGCAGTTTCCTTTTTCTTTAGTCCGTACGGTACCTTTTTGTTGAACTTTTTCTTCTTTCTCTTCTATGTCATTCTCACACTTGGCGTATGATAATGGGCGGGTAGTTATGTTGCAACTCCACCTAGTTCCGAAGAACCGTCTTTGATTTTTCCTTCCATCTGGCCACTTCTAATTTTTTTTATGCACCGTCAATCTCTCTTCGATTTTAACTTCACCCCTACGAAATTTTCAAAAAATCAAATTTATTCTTTTGCATTTAGTTGCGCCTCTACTACCACCGGCCTCGCAGATTTCCCGATCTCTTTGTGCTGATCTGCGGTCAGGTTTGAATTTGAAATACTTGCCGAAAATTTTAAGATATCCTATGTTATGTGAACGGGAATCACATTCCCATCCCTTATCTTTTTCCCATTATTTTTGCACCACTGTAACATCATAGATGCAGTTAAAAGACCTTGGATCAGGGATATCATTGGCTTGACCCCTAACCCCCTCATCTATCACCTACGACTTCAACCCTAAATCCTAACTCTTCCTCCATCCTTAAGACCTCCTTTCACCAAGCTTTTTTGATGACACTTTATCGGATTAAGTCCGAAAGGGACCTTATATAGCCTTGTACCTTCGCTCACCCAATCTTCCCAGTAGATGGCCTTGCTACCAACCCCGTAAGCAATATAGCGAAATTTGGTTCCCTTGTCTGAAAGGAGGGCTAATAAAACGAGCCGTATGTTGCGATAGCACCTCTCGTCGATGAATTGAGTTCCCCAGAATTGAAGTCATTGTTGGCCAGACAGTGGAAGTTGAACCTGTACATTCATTAAGACTTCCTGAATTATTCAAGAGGCTGAGGTGCATCAACATGTCGCGTGCATCGGTGCTGCCAAGCCCTTGATCCGTAAACTGCGCTGTACCACACCAGGACGCATCTGAGCAATAATACGATAAATACGAGCATGTGCAAGCTTGATTGATTTGCGAGAAATTTTGAATTTATTTCGCAGAGGGAATTTCGCGCTGAGCATGACGAAAGTAGGTTCGTTCCACTCTTGCTGGATAAGCTTTCTGCTATTCTTGTTATTTTGTACTTTTATTGCTGAAGTGGCATTAATGGCAACCTCACGAGTTATCAGTAGGGGTGTCCCATGTTAATGGTATTACTGGAGTATTCGCACACGCCGGACGCAGCTATGCCAGGCTTTTTGATTCTGAAATGCGTGCTTATACCCAGTGCCCACCATTCGTCGATTTTTATGTGTTACCTCTTTGATTTATCGTTCGTATTTTAAATATATACGTAGATTTATTATGCTGTTGAAAATTGGTAGCTGCTACCAACTTTCCTACAGTAGACCTAGTCTTGGGTATTGTCTGTCTCGTTCTGGCATAATAAATGTACTGGTTAAACTAAAATTATTTACGCCATTTTGGTGCGAACTGTGACGAATCAAAGCATTGTTTCAACGAGCTATCACTTCCAGTGGCAGGCCACTCTAATCTTATCACTGCCCCTGTAGATGACTTTGTTCACAGCATAATCAGTCCTTTAGATTTTGCTGAAAATGGAGGTACTACCATGCTATTGGTACATTTGGCATTTCTTTTGCACCCACTCGTTCGGAGGTCATCTTGCAGCAGTTGCCGGTGCCATTGGCCTTCCTGCTTCGCAGCCTCCTTTCCTTGGGGCAATATACTGCATATTTTGTGTTATTTTCACGGCATTTGGCCTTCCAGTCCATTTATCCGTGACTCTTATGCCGCGGTCCTCATCTCACTAGGAGGAAGTTTGCTTGAAGTACAGCGATTTTGCAAGGAAGTGATAAGGAGAAGCAGATGCAACCATTGCGTCTGTGGCTTTTCTGATCAGGCAAAAGGTGCTTGCTGGGCAGCGATGGATGTTTGCTTTGGTGAGGCGCATCGCTGCTTTCTCAGGAATTTTCGAATACTCGATCGCCGCTGGATTGAAGCTGAAAACCAAGGGCCCGGTGAAAACCAAGGGCTGCATAGGTCGCTGTATCGCCTGGGTGACGCCGTGAGATACCTCATTCTGCCCTGCTCAGCAGTGCTTGTACGACAGGCTGTGGAGGCTACCGAGCACTGCTTTTAGTGTTATTACTAGAGTACTCGCACACGCCGGACGCAGTTATTTGTCATATTGTTCACTGAAACTGACTTGTACCGCTTGAAGCTGCGGTACATTCGTAGCGACATTCGCGTCATTGCAGGGTATGGGTGAAACAACCAGTCAATCGAGTGACAACAGAAAAAGTGCTGGATCAACTATATCACCGGATAGGGTGGAGGAGGGGAGCGAGGATACAGGTCAGGAGCTCGAGGCAAGAACTGGAGACAGCAGTAAAGAGAAAGAGACGACACAACGCTACAAAGAAAAGCAAATTTAAGAAGACCCGAGCCTATGAATAAAAGCAAAAAAAAAACAAAGTCAAAAAAGTCTGAGGGC